TGTGTGTGTGTGTGTGTGTGTGTACAGTGCCCTGAGACAACAGTTGTTGTGACTTGGAGCTATATAAATAAACTGCATTGAATTGAACTGAATTTTGATTGCTGCTTTGCTGTTTCATTCAAAAATAACTTACAGTTTATAGCTACACTTATAGTCAGTTTATAGCTACTTAAGTCAGGATTCACATTGTCTTAATGAATGCTCCCTGCTTCTTTGCTTTAGGTCAAAAAGTTTAAATGCTGTAAAATCTGCATGTGTTTAACGCTGCTGCAGCATGACTGGGCTGTCAGTCAAACAGAAACACTTCAACAACTACAGAAAATCCGTAGAGATTTAGTTTTATTTCCTAAATATTGTAATAGATGTAATAAGAATGAAACTGGTTTGGTTAGGAAGGGCAAACTTCATGATTTCATGTCATCATCAAGCTAAAAGTATTGGACAGTATTTTTTGTTTTGTTTGTGTTGCTGTCATCCCTGAGCATTGCTGTGTCAGTGTTTCATTGTCTGCAGAACAGAAGACTATCGATGATGACTAATGCTACTCTGCACCTCTGTGGTGTTTGGGTTTCGTGTCTAACTCTTGGTTTACAGCCTGCACCTGGAAAGTCCCACCCCCTCACCAGGAAACAGCTCTCTTTWAAAAGCTCTGCACTCTGACTGCTGCTGCAGTACAACCCTAGTTCACTCAGCAGACAACAGATCTGTACAATGGATCTGCTCTTGACCGAGGATGAGAACCGCAAACGGATCCGGAAGGTGGAGAATTCCTTTGGCCCATCAGGGATGCCCTTGTCCATTCCGGGTCGRGTTCTGATTGGGGAGGGCAAGCTGAGAAAGCAGGGTCGTAAGAAGCAGGAGCTGAAGGCTTTCTTCCTCTTCAACGATGTCCTGGTGTACGGCAGCGTCATCATGAACGGACGCTGGTACAAGAAGCAGAAAGTCATTCCTTTGGGTAAGTTAGTCTTCTTCATCGCCTGAGTCCAACCAAAGCTTGAAGKGAAAATTTGCTTCATAGAGAGACTTAAAGTGCTGTAAAATTAATCTTTACATATTTTTATCTCATTTTAGAGGATGTCGAGATAGAGGACTTGGAGAACAGTGAGTCCATGCAGCACCAGTGGTTGATCAGCACACCTCGCAAGTCCTTCTTTGTGTCTGCCACTACGGGTCTTGAAAAGCAGGCCTGGATGGAGCACATCAGGGACTGTCGGAGCAGAGTGCTGGAGGACAAGGACGTCAAGCCGAGCGCCAACTATGCCATGTCCTGGATTCCAGACAAGGCAGCCCAGAAATGCATGCGCTGCCTCAAGAAATTCTCGTACATCAACCGTAAACACCACTGCAGGAAGTGCGGCTTCGTGGTGTGCAACGAGTGCTCCAGGAAACGGGAGTTCATCAAATATATCAACTCCAATCACGAGGTGAGGATCTGCAAGGTCTGCTACGAAATAGATGAGGACGACAAGGACAAAGACAGCTCCCGACAGAGAGGAGACAGCTCGGGAATGCACAGCTCCAAGGAGGAGGAGGAGGAGGAGGAGGGAGCAATGTCCAGTGATGAAGAGCAGATCCAGACATCGAGCAGCTGGCTGGACACCAAAACAGGCACCTGGGGGCGACTGAGTGCAATCTGTTCATAAACCGTGACTCTGATCGGACTTTTCAAGTCTCTCAAAGTCGGCTTTAATCCAGGATTGAAGGCAGTTTCTGCCACTGAGCAGCATGTGAACAAACATTATGYTACTTCTGCAACTGATCATCACTCCATCTATTCATCTGTCATATGTATCAACATCAAATTGTTTTTATTTAATCTTCTAAGGCAAACTCTTGCATTGCATGCATTTTTGTCCACATATGTGGCACCAGGTCCTAGGATTTGGCTTCATAAATTGATCAGTTGCACTGATTTCTAAAAATGGGCCATTAAAATACAAATCAGTCTATATCCTGTAGTATATTTTCATGGTATGTTTTAGGTTGTGTAAGAGAAAACAAAGAAGCTCTGTGCCTTCTGTCTGTAAAATTGCCACCTTTGACTAAACCATTTAGGTTGTGAAGCATAAAGCTCAACGTGACTCATTGTTTTGAGGTGAATGTACAGAAAAAAAAACGAGTTAAACAGTGAATTTGTCACCTAACAGGTTGTGGTCTGACACTTGTCAACAACTTGTCCTTTAAATGGATAAAATGTAAAAGATATTAATAGACAATTCTTTCATCTAAATAAAACAAATTATCTCATAAAATCATTTTAAAAATGTGACAATGTAAATATCTTACTTACTGTTTGTGCTGCACTTTTTGCACTCTGCTGTGATTCCATCACAAAGTTTTGTATTTGTACAGGTTAATTTTTGTATATTCAAATATTGTGTACTGTAATGACTTGTTATTCTTCATTTACAAGGCTGTGAATAAATCTTATCAAAATACAAGTTTTTTTTGTAAAATGTCTGAGAAATATCAATTGTTTTTTAGTTATGTTTTTGGCTTCAGTACAACTAAATTAAAATAATTGTTCCCTTAGCTTGGTGTCATTTTCCACAGAAACCGATTCATTAGAACCTGCAGTAATAAACTAGTGTCATGGCTCTTCTGCATGTCAGTGGTGTCTTCCACTGAAGCTTGACAAAAACAACTTGCCAGAAAAAGGTTCTGAAAAAAAGAAAAAAAGCATCTAGCTGGTGGAACGTGTCACAAATTATCAGTAAAATGTTAAGTCAAGATTGTGATCAAAGTTTAAACTCTGCTCCAGTTGTAGAAAAGAGATGCAGATATTATTCRTGTAGTTGYCTCTGTGTGTGTGGRCATGTTTTTGCTACTTTGTGGGAACCATTTTCCAGAAAAAGGCAGCCTTGTGGGGACCGAATGTGCATCGTGTGGACCATTGCCTGGTACCCACGTGTACAGATGCTAATTTAATTTCAGGTAGGAGTTGGGTTTAGGACCAAGGTGTGAATTAAGTTTAGGTTAGTTTTAGGGTCAGGTAGGTACCTGTG